TGCGCGGGATTTTCGAGATCTTGCGATACAGTCCGAGCAATAAACGCGGAAGTTAGATCCAAACACCCGTTGTGTGGGAGAAGCATCGGCATGAACTGTTTAATCTGCCCATCATTTGTGTTGAGAGATCAGCAGTGTTTGGATCAACAAAGAGTGACTACTTTGATAGTGGAAACTGTATTTATGGCTTACTTTTGTGCATTTAAAGTTCAGCCGCCATTGATAGTTGTTAAAAGTTGTTAAAACTGTTCATATGAAACAAAAAACGCATTTTGTTTATCGATTTATTGTGAAAAACGGAAGTTATGCTTGCTCCTTTTCCTGTTGGGCAGTTGTGATTTCTGTCCATTTACTGCGGAGGTGCTCCGGCGTCCGGCGAAAATAGGATCGATTCTATTTTTGCCGGACGCCGGAACAGAGGGCGGCGCACGGCGCCGCACTGCCGGAGCACGGCCGCAGTAATGGAATTGCTCTGATTGACTACAACGGGACCGATTTTGCTCCGGCGTTCGTGTCGGAGCGGAGCGGAGCGGAGCGGAGGTAGTGGAATTTGGGGGTAAGACACTGTATTTATCTACCGTGCATGACTCATCTTTCTTGTTATCTAGAAATTTCTGGTGCTGAAACTCATGGAACAGCAGTGAGAAAATGATTTTACTGCTTAGGAAAATGAACTGCAGTTACCTTATTTGACCACAGGGTGTCATTCTCACATATTGCACCTTTAAATGTAACAACATGTTTGCACTTGCATTCATGTAGGTGGTAAATAAAGTAAATAGTCATTTAAAATATTGCTGTTGCACAAAGTTAAATTTACCACAACAATTGATTGTGATAAATCATTGACTAAACTTTCATCTGTCAAAGAGTAAAGCACCTAACCTTTAGGTTAGGCGCTTTATAAATAAAGCTTTGATTGATTGATTGATTGAACCTACAGCAAGCATAGTATGGACTGTAGGAGGAAAATAACATGAGCGCTGCACAGGGCAAACACGCTAACATGACCTCCAGCTGGGAAATGAACCTGAGACCTTTTTGCTATGAGATGACGTGATGAACCCCCATGCAGGCTGTTTAAAGACATACCCTCATCAATCATCTGTGACTGTCTGAGACATTCAGTCGGGGTAATTTTCATTTCATCCTAAAACGTGTTGCTTTGTTGAGTGATGTAACTGATCGTTTGAAAAACAATTAAACCATTCCATCACAGTATCAGGACTCAAACAACATTTGTGGCTTCTTGTTTAATCAAACTCTAACACAAGATTCAGAATCAGATTTTTCTTTAATTTGTCAAGTAATAAGTTTCCATGCTGGATATTTTGATGTTTAACACAAAACAGTGTTCTGTATCAGTCAGATTGTAAAAGTTAGAGCATTTTGGAGGTTAAATAGAAAGTTTATGCAGTTGTAGTTTCAGTCAAAAAATCTTTTTTGGCTTCTGTTGGCGTTTTCATTTTGAGATGACTGAAATGCAGAATGGCTGCTAAAAGCAAACATAAGGAATCGGGCTCTGATCAGTTATAGTTGAGACAATAGATATCCATTTAGTTTGGGCAAATTTAAATCATGTTTCAGGGATTTGTCTCTTATTATGAAATTGATTTACATATATTGAAATACTGGGACATAAAGGGAAAAGAAAAAGTCAGACTGACAATGAGGCTAAACTATACTAGGTTCTCAATAATAGACAAAAACAACCTGATTTACCCAATATTCCCACTGGTATTTCAGCTACAGCAGAGAGGCCTTTTTATTTAAATGTAATCAGTCTTTTTAAACAATAAACCCCGTCTCCATCATCAGATTCACTCACATCTAGCCCAGACCATTCAAAACTCAAATGCCATCCAAGCCTCTCCTAAATGTCAGTGAAACAAAAAGCCACCCCCTGAAATAAGAGCTTTGACAAAGGAAACTGTCCCTTTTGAGAGCTCATGCATTTCCAACTTAAGTCTTAAAGCTTCTGCACCTGCTGTGAAAACACAGCCATGTACATCTAATGTTGCTTTACAAGTAAAGTTTTCAATGGAGTTAAATGTAAAGGTTTTAGAAACATAGAGTTTCTAGATCCAAGAGCTTGTCTTTTTTAAAGCAATGAGTTGGAAAAATAACATAAAAGTGATTTGTTCATGTGGATCTGGCTGCTTTGATTAAAAAATACACCCAATGTGTAAAAAATGGACAAGAAATAACCACAACAGTGTCTAAGCTGCATCCGTGTGAGATGTAAAAGTGTTGTAAGGTGGAAACAAAATCCCTCCAACAAGCCAAGATGGCAGAGTGCCAGGCGAGAGACATAAAAGTGAAGTGAGGACTTTATTAACAACAGGAGTTTTTTTTCAGCCAGCTGTTAAAATAAAATAAAAATAAACCAGGACCTGCAGCAGTCACGGCACACCTCATGTCCTAAATAAAGGTTTTAAACTAGGTGTAATAAGGTGATGCACTTGGCATCACAAGCAGCCTTGCTAAATTAGACTTACACTAATTAAATGCGCGAGTTTCTCTGTGATCAGATAAGAACCGCTTTAATCTGACGCTCAGTGCTGCAGTGGATTTGGACTTTGATAATCTACCTCTAACTGACAGCTCGGTTGTTGCAGAGCAGCTGTGAGGATTCCTGATTAAGTCAAAGCTGAGGTGAAGGTATCCTGGCCATAATTGGCTCACAGTTGAGCGACATAAAAGCGGATCTGAAATGAATATTTTTTTGTTTTTGTTTGTTTTGTTGTTTATTTATTTATTGTTAAAATACTTACACATGGAACATGTTTGTTCCAGCAAAACTCACGTTTGATTGGCAGGTGTTTGATGGACTTGGCCTCTGGGCACTGTGATGGGTTTGACCTCCGACCTCCAGGGTTACAAGATGGACTTCTCCTTCTGCAGCAAGCTGGTATTGACCTCTTGGAGAAGTCAGTCAAGCCAAAAAAATTGCATTTCAGTGTGTTTATATGTGTGGGTTTGAGCTTCAGCACCAAGTGATGTGATCTCCTCTGACAAAGCAACGGGACCGAACAATAAAAATGTCTATTTTCCTTCTCTCTCATTGGCTTGTTCTCTCTTTAAGCTGCAGGCAAAGCGGTGGACATGATTAAACAGACAAATCCACAAAAAATTCAAATTCTTATGAAGAACATCTTCATTCTACTCGTTATTAAAATTCTGTTAATAATCGTATTTTTGATCTCAGAAGGATGCATCACATTGCAACTACTTAGCATTAACCTCAAACTCAAAGCCCCTGGATTGGTTACCTTTCACTTTTAGAGCAGATGATGATCAGTGTTCTCTCTTTAGATGAAAATAACAGTTTGCCTCTAAGTTCGTTTTTGGATTAGAAATCTCCCCGTGGGCCAGCACACTCTCAAGGACGTTTTTATCTGGTTTCATTAGGACCACAGATATGATCATGGAAGTGATAATCCACAGTGATAAATGAATTCCTTTGTTGTTTATAAGCCTGATAAGGCTGTTGCTCCACTGCTGGTCCAGTGTTTTACTCTTCTGGGTGTTAAAAATGTACCTACTCTGCACAAGAGCAAGTTTTAATGTTTTTGTTTTAAAGAGACAATGTGCAGTTTTTACTGTTAATCTCTAGAAGCATCCATCGAAATATTGTTGAAAATGATTGAAATGATTATTGGCGGCTTTGTAACATATAACCATAAAAATCTGGTCTATAGTACTTGGGAGTCGGTCTAAGACTCTGGGCGACGCCATATTAGATGCAACGTCTCCTATGGGAGCCCATGAGGACAAAAAGCATTTACTGATTTGTAACAAAACTTTCGCCATTCATAAGTGTTGTTTTACACATTTGCCTCTTCACTTGTTGCCAGTGATGAAAGGGAGTCTGATGTGCTTGATATTTTGCTGGAGGTTGCGCTCCCAGGTATTTTTGACCCTAATGGCCATCCGTTGGCAAGGTCTAACTTGATTGCCTCTTTGTCCTCCCCTGCATCCCTAAAAGAATTACAATAATCTAGTCTGTTTATTTTGTTTTTCTTTCACAGGTCTAATTGATCATTCGAGTTGTCTGACTCTGAAATGATCATTTTTGGGTAGAAAAGATCATTGCTTTAATGCAGATGGGATAAAATAAAAAACTATAAAAACAATCAATTTTGGAGCATAACAAACCTCTTTTGGTTGAAATGGTAAATTAAAGTCTTTAGCTACTATGATATAAAGGAACCCTGTTTTTTTGTTTTTTTGTTTTGTACAAATCCCTAAACATATTCCCAGTTATGGAAATCAGGTGAGTGTTTTGGCCATTATTACCAGACTCCCTCATCAAAGTAGTTAAATGAGGTTGAGAAAGTCCAGAATGAGTTTTATTGCCAAACGATACAGTATGTTATTAACATCCATTAAGGTCCTTAAAATGGTCTGTTTTTACATTACATTCAGTCTATATGATTCATGACTGGAGAATTAAGGAAACTCGGGGGAAATGTGTCTGTGAATGTAAAAGAACGAATGAAGGACAACTAATGGGATCTCTTTTGACTTTTTAGAATTTGTCTGCGACTTTCAATTAAGGACCAATGAGGCGATATCTAGAAAATGCTTACATCGTCTAGGAGTATTATTCCTGCATTCTTCTTGTAGATTCAAAGAAATCCAGCTGCTGTCATTCTCCTCCTTTCCCCTCCTATTGGATTGTTTGGAGGGTCTCACTTCAGGGCAGATCGACTGTGACTGAGGAAAGGGGGAGAGAGAGAGAGAGAGAGACAGACAGAGAGAGAGAGAGAGAGAGAGAGAGAGACAGAGAGAGAGAGAGAGAAAGCGAGAGAGAAGAGAAGCGTGCTGAGCGAGAGAGAGAGAGAGAAAGCGAGAGAGAAGAGAAGCGTGCTGAGCGAGAGAGAGAGAGAGAGAGAAGAGAAGCGCGCTGAGCGAGAGAGAGAGAGAGAGAGAGAGAGAGAGAGAGAGAGAGAGAGAGAGAGAGAGAGAGAGAGAGAGAAGACAAGCGCGCTGAGCGAGAGAGAGGCACTCACACTGGAGGAGGCTACGGCTACAGCACCAGCGTTCTCTATTCATCCTTTCTTCTCCCATAATCCCACATCCATGCCAGGAGGAGACATGGCTGGATCCCTGACCCACTGAAGGAGAGAAAAGACTCATATGACCCCCACCCTGCCACCCCCCTTTTATGTAGAGCTTTTTGGGGGTGTAGGATCACCAACAGGGAGTAGAAGGAGGTGTGTACGGTACACACAAGGCAGGAGAGAGGGCAGGAAGGAGAAAGAAGAGGGGAGTAAAATGTAGATTTTCTTCAGCTGCAAATGCCGTCATCTGAAATTGAGACAGGCTGAGGGAGATTAGGAAATCTGTGGGGTTTTTGCACGTGCGGAGCGGTGGCAGCCACTTGTGAGCCAAGAGGAGAGGGAAGAAAATTTGCATACGCGCACAGCTGGACAGATGAGGAGGCATCAGGGAGCACGCTTCAGTCCTGGGTATGTTTACTCTCTCACAGAAATGTTTGTATTTCTTTTCTCTCAGTAGTTGCAGCATTTTCACGAATAGACCGCGGACTCAAATGAGTGTTTTTCTCTGCTGACGACAACCAGTCCTGACAGGACTCCTGACTTGCCCTCAGATATGAGGGGGAGAGCTCGTGTGTGTGTGGTCATGCTTATGTGTTAATAAATGCCTGTTTTGCAGCTAGAGGCTTTTGTAACAGGCTTGCAGGGATGAGCGATGCGTGTAAATAAGCCTCTAACTGGTGGGATGTTGTCATGTTCCACGTCGCTGGGCAGAAGTCTTTTTCTGGCTCGTTTCATTAACTTTGTGCATGAGTTGGGTGATCTGTATGCTGCTGCTGACCAACACTTGAGTGGGTCGAGGAGACCTGCAAAGCTTTTTTTTATCCGTACGCCTTTGCAGGACACCTCACAGCACATGACACTCTGACAGCATGCACATGGACATCAGCTCTGCAGGAGGGGTTTCAGCCACCTACCCTTGTTTCTGAGCATCGAGTCCAGCTTTTTTTCTCCCAGTCATTTTGCACGATTTCTATTCTTTCTCCATTTCCAATTATAGCCTGTCACCTCCCCCTGATCCTATCTCCTGTTGCATTCTCTTGCTGAACAATTACCCACACCTGAATATCTCCCTCTGGACATCATGCCTTGCTGGTTTCTTGCCTGCCTTCTTTAAGAAATAAAAATGAGAGTTTGGGGAGAAGCGTGTGCGACTTAATGGCCCTTTTTTATAGTTGCGTGGACTTGAGCAAAGATCCTTGCAGCCTGAGCCCAAAAGCCACCTCATGCTGTTGCTGAACGTTTGATGTAACTGTGGCAGCTTTTCAGAGAACATGAGAACCGAGCCTCTAATCAGACGAAGACTCCTTATTTCCTGCACCTCATTAACTTGTTTAGATTTCCAACTTTATCGTTGTTCTCAGTTATTGTCTTCCTGTCAGGAAAATCAAAGCAGAGCTGACTTAAGCTGAAACCCACTGAATAAAAAAAAATCCTTCTTCCTCTTTGAGCCTCAGAGACACAATTAACAGAGGAGGGAAAGGGGAGCAGGGACATAAATTGAAATATCAAACGTTGAGTGACGTGTGAGTCTGACAGGTCAACACGGGCTGAGGCTGACAAAGTAAAACTGTTTGTTGGCAGGTGTTTATTGCAGATGCATTTTTCTAGGTGAGTGGACACAATGAAGGTGTATCTTTCTTAAAAATGATTTAAAAGAGCAAAAATAGCCTCTGGAAACAGACGATACTTGATTTATTTATGAAGATGATTATAAAAAAACAAATTCTGATTTATTTAAAGCACTGTTGTCTAACCACATCAGGATGTGAACAGCTTCACTCAAATTTTTGTAAAACTTCTTTTCTCAGAAAAATTGAAAGCATAATGAAAACAAACATGTTGTTTTTGCATAATGTGGTGTGTAGATACGCTTTTGTAAGTTACCAAATTAAATCTTTATGAGTTGACTGTCACGGTCTGCCCCTGCCTCCCTGACTGTGTCTCTCTCCTGCCCTTGATTAGTCCTTATTGTTTTCACCTGCCCCTTGTTTACCTGCCCATGTGTTCCTCATTTGCCCTGTGTATTTATACCTCCCTCCTTGTGCCAGTCTTTGTCAGATCATTGTGGTTGTTTGTCATCGTTGTCTTGTACTGTTCGTTCCTGCTCTGTTATTAAAACCATTTTACTTTATCTGAAGCCTGCATCTTTACCTCCTGAGCTGCTCCACCACACATGGTCCATCATCTCCACACCCACAACGTGACATTGACATGGAGTCATGAAACTGTTTTGCTGAATCAAAGTTAATTAAATTGATTTGTTTAATTTTCAGATTCAGTTTTATCCATGTGGCAGGCTTTACATATTAACATGTCAGCGTGATTGTTAACCATGCTGCTGTGAATAAGCTTCATCCACACGATAGATCCAGTAAAAACAGCAGGTTAAAGCTTCAGTAAGGAAAATGTTACGAGTGTTTTGTTGCTGGAGGATGTGTGAGGAAAGAAAAACAATTCACGGTGGGCTTTACTGGAAGGGTTTGACTGGGGGAGCTTTGATCTCAGCATGTGAATAAGTGTGTGTGTGTGTGTGTGTGTGTGTGTGTGTGTGTGTGTGTGTGTGTGTGTGTGTGTGTGTGTGTGTGTGTGTGTGTGTGTAAGTTGGCCAACCTTGAGAGCGGCATCAAGGACCTTAAGGATGTCCTGCATGGAGGATTGCTCCTATTAGATTACTGGACCGTGATTGAGGTGATTTCACAGACAAGGGCAAAGACTCACATAAAGGCGTCATGCCACACACACCCTTCATGCTAATTCAAACACACACTCGCACACACACATGGTGTAACAGCTTTGGAGGTGAACCTGAATTTAATGGTTCTGCTTCCAGCATCATTCACCTTGGGGATGCTATCATCATGTGTGTGTGTGTGTGTGTGTGTGTGTGTGTGTGTGTGTGTGTGTGTGTGTGTGTGTGTGTGTGTGTGTGTGTGTGTGTGTGTGTGTGTGTGTGTGTGTGTGTGTCCTAAGAGGTTCTGATGGTGCAGGCTGTTAGTACTGTTGCACATGTGCTGTGTAAGATAAAGGGCACGATCCCGGTCAGTCATAAAGAAGCCGGCTTCAACCTCGGGTCAGAAAACATCCCTGCAGCACTCTCATCACTCTATTAAAACCAGATGGCCTTCAGCACCTCCTCATCCTCTTCCTCTGTCTTTCAGTGCCTCCTTTATGAAAAATGATTCCCCCACTCAGTTTTCCATCCATGCTTCTCTCGCACTCTGTTTCTCTTCAGTCTAATTTCTTGGCAGCATGTTTTCGGACGTGGCCCTGGGGCTTCAGACTGTGGCGTTCTGTCTGTTTCCTACGCTGCTGCTTCCACATTCTGCTACTTGCAAAAGATTTAAACATTTTAAATTCATTTGTATTTGCCTTAACTTTATTATTCTGTTTCAGACAGACAATTGTTGAGTGAGTCATAAATATGTTTAAATTCTCTTCATATAAAAATAATGTAATATTTGAGGAATGTAAAGCTTTTAGAGGTGTTTAATTCATTCTTTAGTTATACTGTGGGAGTATTCGGAACAAAACTTTACTTCACACTCCATTTGGCAGCTCGTTGTTAAATAACTAATATATATTTTTGTCCTGGATCAAAAGGTGATGAGGTTTTTGAACCAAAGTTCTGCCTACTGCTCACTGACTCAAATCAGTTCCCCGAGAGACTGCTACTCCATGAAGGGTTAAGAAGGAAGATAGCGCAAGGGCCCTGGCAGTAGGAGGGGCTCTGGGGAAAAATATGTAATGTCTTTAAATTGTTTATCATCATCATCATCATCATCATCATCATCATCATCATCATCATCATCATCCTCATCATCATCATCATCATCATTATCATTATCATCATCATCATCATCATCATTTATTTATTTATTTTCAACATGACAATAACATCACAAGTAACAACAGGATATAAATCAATAATAAACAAGATAAATCAATAATAAATCAAGTTGACATTGTTGTAGGCATGTTCAAAAGGGAGTGGGCGGAAGCCAAGCTTATTCAATCCCACCCCTATTTTTCACTAATAGTTTAACATTCAATATGTAGAAAAAACTCTAATTCAACAACCTTGTTCTGACCAAAGAAAATCATAATCATAACAATAATAATGGTGGTGGTCTAGACAATTTAACAATTCTTGTCAATATCATTAATTATATATTCCCATACACCTTTACTCACATCATTGCCCATTCTCATTTGTAATGTATTTTAACCAAACTGTTCTTCTGTAGTGTGCTTTAAAAATCCTAATATTTTGACATTGTTTGTTGTCAGTCTTTAAGTTATTCCGTATTTTTATCCCACACACAGACACACAAAAGCTTTTATACCATAAAAGAAAACTTTTCAGACACTTTTTTCTCTTTTTTCTAACTTTAAACTTCTGCCAGAGATTTTTAATCTGTAACGTTAATGAGATCCAATGTTCTTTCTTAGAGGATGCTACGTGTTGTTCAGATGGACTTTTGACATCATTTCAAGCCTGTCAACCTCTTTTGCACGTCACTCAGAGGCTGATCTGTCATATTGGTGTCCTCAGATATCAGATTTAAATGTGATGTGTCAGGGTCTTGTTCATGAATGAGGGGAAAATGGAGTTTGAGATGAATGTGAGGATTGGTGCTGTGTCTACTGTGATGCGTGAGCTGTAGCGGTCTGTTGTGGTGACGAGGGAGCCTAAAGGAGTACATGTGATACCAGAGTCACCCTCCAAGATCATACAATTGTTAGGCTTGACTTGCGCTTGTGTGGACAAAACTATAGAGTGAAAATCGTTCAGCCTATAGCCTAATGCTGCTCAAGACTTAAAGGCGTGGAACCCTCTTTTAATCAATGCATTTGCAGTAGTCTCTAGTAGGAATGAAAGCCTTGTAAGTCTCTGGTAAAAATAAAAAATGAAAAGCCCTGGCTGCGCCATTTTCAGGAACTAGAAGTGAGCCACATCAGAGCTGAGCTTCAAATGGCAGGATCTGGAATCTTATTTCCTGATATTTGGATCTCCTCAGATCGGCTAACAGCAACGTGACTCTACTACTGGCTCTGTTTGCTCTGCAACGTTGATGTTTTGTCTCCACAAATAACACAATCCTGTAGGAGTTTTGCTGTGTGGTGGAGTTGCTAATGCTAACGGTTAGCTTCTACTAGTAGAGACGTTCTCTGCTGTTTCCTGGATGCTAAACCAACAACAGCCTTCCCCGTCATCAACCAAGATGGGTGAGTCCATGAATGTTACGTGACAGTGTGACATAGATCTGTCAGGATTTTCTAATATTTCACCGTCTATCAGAAGTTAATGCAGGAGATAGGTGTAGGAGACTACATTCGTGTTCAGCCTGCATGAAAAACTGACTAATTATAATCAGGAATACAATTTCCACACCTTTGAAGAGACAATG